CACTCTATGGTCTCGCCGTCAGACTTGTGTCCCAGCTCACGCGTGAGCTGGAACACTCTGGCGGCGCAGAGAGCTGGCATTCGAATTCGACGGCCGCGGCCGTCGACTTTGGTGTGGCGGTCTTTGGTGGAGGTTCTCTTTGGAGGCGGCTTTTTTGGGGAGGGTTCGGAGGGTGTGGGGAGGAGTTGGTTGGAGGGTTCGGCTGATGAGATGGCTAGAGAGGGGTATGGGGATGAGGTGGAGCAAGAAGGAGGGTCTTGGTCTTCTTTCTTCTCGAGGAGTTGGAATGGGAAGTTTTGTCGGTGGTGGTGGTGACGATGATGGTGGTTTTGGAAGTCATCACCTCCCTCCATGATCGCATGGAAGGGTGTTAAAGTTTTTGTTTTTGTTTGTGTTGTGTGTAATAAGGTTGTTGTTTTTATGGGACAGATTGTGATCAGTGAGTTTGTGGTTTAATGTGTGTGTGGTGGGTCTTTCTCATCAGTGGGCTATATTTGGAGGGGGGTGTGCGTCTAGGTTTCTTTGCTTTCTTTTTTCGAGCAAGGGAAGGGAATTTGCTTTGAGAATTGATGTGAGAGTGAGAGAGAGATAAGGGGAGCTGGGAGAGGGCATGAGCTTTAAGCAACAAAGATAATGAGTGGGAATTATATGGGTGAGCTTTAAAAAGCATGATTTTTCTCCCAAAAGAAATTTGCTTTGTTGTTGTGTTTTAGCTTTTAAATTGTATATGTGTATAAGCTAAGCTTTGGTTTGTAATCCGTATGTCCAGTTGTATGGGGAGGTAGGTTTGTGTTGTGTTGGATTTGAAATGGGAGGAGAACGTGGAAAAATCAAAGATTTTTTTTTGGTTTTAAATTTGTAGCGTTTTTGTGATTGAAGGGAGGGATAGTTGCCCTTTTTATTGTGGTTGGACAGCCTCTTTGGTTCAGACTCCACGTGAGGTGCTCTTTTTTATCATTCAATCCATAAAGACAATGGTGGCCTTGTGGGTCCCAATCCCAAGTCAAAAAATTGAAAGACCTGGAAAGGAAAGATTATCAGGTGGGTCCCCTCTCATTCAAGTAATCATTTCGTTTTGCCTTTGGCCTTTGCCTTTTGTTCTGCACCTTTGTTGGGGAACTTTGGGATTCCTCAGTTGGCCTTTGCCATTTCTCTCACCCTAGAAACATTTCTGAATTCAATTAGTGGAGCGAGTTTAACATCAACTCCACCTTACAACTTACAAGCTAAGCTTTTCTAACATTCACATTCACATATATACTTACGCTTCCAAACATTTTGACTATTAGTTTTGCTAGGGCATTGATTGAATAACTTTATAGACCAACTCAACTAAGCATCTTATAAGAATTGATTGCATGTATATCTTTAGATATACACATCAACTCCTTTTCTCTATTTCTAATCTTTTAAAGTTGTCAGCAACAGCAACTGAAAAAGATGTAAAATTGTGTAAGAGGAGTAAATAAATTGTGGAAGAGTGAAAGTTGTGTAAGCTTTCAATGATGAGCACTGATCTGTGTTAAAAAAATACATACTAATAAGTAATACATATTAATAAGACATTCAAAAGTTATTTAAGAAAAGTCGGGAATTCTCTAATATGTCGAGGTAAATAAACTTTGAGAACTCGAAATTGTTACGTACAAGGCTTTTAAGAAATAAAAATATCTGTTTCGGTAACTTTTTCTTACGCTCTCCGTATCTTTTATATATTAAATCTCTTGACGAAGATTGAAGAAAGAGAGAGCAAAGAGACTGATCTTTTTCAACTTACATAAAATGGATGTTAAAAAATGATGAGATAATCAATTGTTAGCCTTATTTGAATTGATTTTAAATAACTGAGTAAACATGTTTTACTCGGTTAGATATCAATAATAACTTAATGACACTAAAAGAGAATTATACACTACGAAACAGGTTATTCTTTAAGCTGTTCTTACTTCTTACTAGAATATATGTCGCTTGTCTAACAAAAATTATTTCTTAATAAGGATCTTGTATATAGGTTTACACTAATAGCACATTAATGGAATATGTCAATAAAAATTGCTCACTATATATACATTTATATATTAGCATAGGAAATTGAAGTGTTTATATATTGTTAAATAACATTTTTAACGTACGCTTTGCAATGTCTCTATATCAACCAGTAGTTATTTATTAAAGTTCACTTAGTTCATAGAATTTTAATTGTAATTTAGAATTGTAGTTTCTAGTTCTAACAAAATTGAATTTGCTTTATAATCATAATATTTGAGTATCGGGTAAAGAATCGGGGCGTATAATTATATATATACTTACACCTCTAATTAAAAGTGAAATTACCAACAAAAAAAAGTAGACATAACTGAGGTTACATTGACTTTAAAAAAAAATTATACTTAATAGGTAGTCATATTTTCCTTTTCCGTTACATTATTCATCGCATTTTTTTTTTTACTTTTATTATTTTATTATTTTTTATATTTCTCTTCCTATCTCGATCCCACTTCTTCCATTGAATGTATATATACACTCGATCATGTAGGTGTGAAAATATTTTCTTAATTAATTAAATATTATTAAAGTCTAATTTCATTCCGAATTCCTAAATTTCATGCATAATTTCACACGGTAAACACACGAACACACACTTGTTAAAAGACTATACCATAATAAAAAGCCTTTCAAGTTACAACTGTTCTTTTTTCTTTTAGTATATGATTTTTTTAAGGTGATGTTTTAATTACTCTTAATACTTCCTTTCTCGAGTTTACTGTAAAATATCAATATCCAACTGAGAATGATTGTAGGAATGTATTATAAATATCACAATGCTTAAGATTTAAGGGCCTATTTCACAAATATATATATATACAGAGAGAGAGACGGACGCACGTTAAAGCTTGTGGGGGCAGTTGCGCCCACTAACTTTTCAATTTTATTTTTTAATAATATATAAAATATTATATTATATTTATTTAAAATTTAAAAACAAAAAAAATTAAATAAAAACTAAAAAAATTATAAAATTAAAACCGAATTTGTTGCAGGAACAAACAGATGCACTAATTTGTGCTTCACTAACTTTTCAGTTTTTTCTAATAATATATATAATATTATATTATCTTCATTTAAAATTTCAAAACAAAAAATAAAAACTAAAAACTAAAAAAATTATAAAATTAAAACTGAATTTAAGTTTTGTTGCAATTATCTTTATATGAGAAAGGAAATTTTTTTAAAAATATTTTAATATGTTATAATAATTAACAACAAATTACATGTTTTAAAAAAAATGTTATGCATTTAAATTGTAAATTAAGATAAAAAAAATTATAAATTAAATAATATATGTGTTTTAAGTTTTTAAAAAAATCATAAGTTGTTATTAACCTCTTTTTAGATATTTTATATCTTTTTTTTGTTTTATTTTTATTTTTTCTAACTCTTTTTATATTTTGAGGTTCTCTTCTACCTCTAACATATTTTAAAGTGTAGAAGAGTGAAATTGGAAGAAAAAAAAAATAAACTTCTTCTTCCATCTATATTTGCTTTTAGAGCTAGCCTTGATACTACCAGTGGCAACTACATCAGTTGAAAGAACTTTTTCTGCTATGAATATCATCAAGAATCGGATGCGCAATCGTATGGGAGATGAATGGTTAAATGTTACTTATATAGAGAGAGAGGTTTTTGATAGTATTGAAAATGAGCAAATCATTCAATGTTTTCAAACTATGAAAACTCGTAGAGAACAATTATGATATGTATTTATCTTTATAGAAATTTTATTTTATATTTTGACAAATTTATGTATTTAAATATTGTCCCACTACTTAAAATTTCTGGATCCGTCACTGTATATATATATATATATATATATATATTTTCTGGTCAATGCGAAGTTCTATATACCAAGTAACTAAAGCCTTTTCATAAATGCAAAGAAAACGAATCGCTACTTGTGGTCCTATGGCTGAAGAAGATATATAAAAAACATTGATGAGTTGCTACAAGCTAAGTTCTTCATGCGTATATATATATATATATATATATATATATATTAATTAAAGTGACCCTTTGAGTTTGTGACACACATATATATAAAATCAAATCAAATGGGGCTAACCATACGTTGATGCTTGTATTGAAGATGACAGTGAATCTTGAAACCACGCTCTTCTTCTCTGATTATATCCAAACTTTTCCTTTTTTTTCCTTTTCAGTTTCACAGTTATTGTTACATGGAATTGAATCAAACATTTTTTTTGAGTAACAAGTGTTTGACACTTCATACCACAATTATATACCGTGCGCGTAATTAGAGACTTATATATAATAATCAATTAATTGTGATATATTATTCTAATTTGTTTTTAATAAAGAAAGAATAAAATGAAAAATAAATATATTTAATACCTGAAAACATAAAAAAAAAAAAAAAACAATTTAATGCTACGTAATAACTAAACAATTAAAGTTATTCTTTTTATATTTATCTTATACTTTTGTCCGTCTGTCTCCTTAGTATACATCTGAAAGGGATGTGGAAAAATCTTAATTTTTTGATATATATGGCAAAGTCTATGTTATGATGAGATTTGTGATGTACAAAATGAAGGTGAAAAGGGTGTCAATTGAGTATGGAAAAAATCGAATCTCTTTTATTTACCATCGAAGAGAGGGTGGTAAGAAATTGAGTTGCTGTAAATTTTAGTTAATCTTGGATATATCTTCAGTTATATCTTATCTACCACGTGCTACACATCACGAGTAACGACAAATAACGCCAGCGGCGCATAGAAATTAGGTCAATTTTGGATTGCATATAATCAATGATTAATTTATTGTGATATAAATGCAAAAGTAAACAAGCATGATAATTCAATGCAAAATCCAATTAACTGATATGTATAATCTACTTTTTACTTTAATTTGTCATTACGTAATCCACTTTGTTTGACCCAGAGTAATTAACGATTAAAATATTGCAAGAATTAAAGCATCCTATATTACTATACAGTTAACTGAGAGTTGATTGTAATATACCAAAACGATTGACTTAATTGTGATCATAATACATATAGCTTATTGCATGTGATTCTTTTCTAGTTAGTGACAAAACCACGTTCATTATCATTTTTTTGTTTTTGTTTTATTTTTATTTTAGGCAATAAATTTGAAATTTGAAATTAGTGCCCCCATCAACAAGTCCAAAATTATTTTAAGGACGTAAGCGCCCACGTGAGATTCCTCAGCTTTTAACCCTACAAACGTAAAAGTTCTTGTCGCGAAATTACATACCAAGAATCGCAAACACCAACATACGGACAAGTTGACAAAAATTAAACGCTCTCATGAATCCTTGATAATGACACAAATTCACAAGTAAATTTCGATTGTCAAAATCAAACAATTTAAAATGCCTCTCTCAACATACAGAACTTCGTTACCCAAAAACATGCACAAATGAATTAAAACTCACTTTAGACGTACGTTGTGTATGTTATATCCTCCCCCCTAATCATTTTATTATTTAGATCATATATATTTCTATCTAACTTGTTTCTCAAGCATCCGGGAAATTAATTAAAGGGCATTGAGAGATTTACTTATTCATTTTATTATTTTTCCTATGACCTTCATCATTAAAGGGAGATATTTAATTTTTGCCCCGTTGTGAAGGGTATTAATAGTTGTAAAGAGCAGATGTTAATTTTTAACCGTAATTATTGAGACATACACATATAATAAACCCTCAATTGATTACCTCATGTGTAGATCGAGATTGAGTAAAGGCTAATTAAT